TGAATCTAAGGGGAAGCAAGATTTTCCATAGAAACCTACTCCTTGCAAACTTTTCCTCATTACTCTTCTGTTGAATTTCAAAAGTGAATTTTGTATTCTGGCATTTGGAGCCTGATCTAAGTCAACACACTGCGTTATACAGGAAGTAATGAAACAGTCACCCAAATAAATATCAATCATCACAAATTTTTCTATTATTGATATTACACACAGCAATGTGAAATCACAGCTGCAAGTTTTTTAGATGGTGTTGGCTTTCATTCTCATCAAGTTCTTCCTAAGAACTTAGGATGTCATAATATATTGGCAAAGTACATGTGCAGATCCAAGTGTGGCCTTGTGTAGTTGACAGGTACATTTTTTCAACGCACGGATGTTTTAAGTTTTATCCAAGACTTCTCAATACCAACAGGACCACCACTACCTGTGCCATAACCTTTCAATTCTGATTTTCAGATCTTAATACTTTGTGATCTTCTCCAGTTCGTTGTCTTCTATTATACTATCCCTTGTTATTGCCATTGTCATTAATATTAATATATGTCTATGGAGATTCTCAGTCATTCAGATCATGGTTTTCCCAAAGGTGCTTTTTCAAGAGACAAATCAAATCAAATCAAACCTTTATTGTCAATGCACAACATGTGTACAATTAAATTGAGCCTCCCTTTGTGCAGCCAACGGGACTTTCTTGTTTTTCTTTGAAGACATTGTGCTTCTCATCCATTCTTCATCTCTGACTGGATGGTGGGAAATGGAAGGGTTTTATATTCCTTGAGGCAGATGGTCATTTGCATTATCTTAGAGAGTTGTTGAGGCTACTTGGAGGATCACCTGAGTAGTGCAAATGGGTGGGAACTGCTGAAAGGACTGTGTTGTAGACTGGACATAGATGATGTTATATCCCTCTCCCTCTGTTGAGAGAGGGCTGTTAAATTTTGACATAGATGGCCACTTTGACCCCTCTTTCAAAGCAATGGTGCGCCCTGTCCACAATGTGGACTTTGCTGTCTTCAAATAAATGGCCTTTGTGCTATAAATGCAGATGGACTGCTGAATCTTGTCCTGATGGATTTATTCTCCTATGTTGTGCCATGCATTTATGAAGTAGTTGTTCTGTTTCCCCAATTTACAGATCTGCAAATGTTCACTGCATTGTATTGCATATACCGTGTTGCTCAGTTTATGTCTGGGTGTTTTATTCTTGGAGTAGACAAGCTTCTGCCTTAGTGTATTCTTGGGTTTAAAGTGTGCATGTATGTTGTGTTGGCTGAAGATCCTCCTGAGCATTTCAGATATTACTGCCATGTATGGAATGACAACATTGCTTCGTTTATTGTTCTCTTTATTGTCTTTTATGGAAGATCTGCTAGATCTTTTTTGTGATTTCATGAAGGCCGGCTGGGATAGCCACACATTCTGAGGGCTTCCTTGATGTGTTTTAGTTCTTTTTCTTTCCTATCTTTGCTGGTTGGCAGGCCTTCCACTCGGTGGTGTAGGATTCAACTCTGTACTATTCAGGTGACCCTGAGGACACAAATAAACTTCCAAGTGACCTCAACAACTCTCTAAAAGAATGCAAATGACCAGCTTTCTGCAAGGAATATAAATCCTTTCACTTGCCACCATCCAGTCAGAGATGAAGAAGCTTCTTGGATGAGAAGTGAAATGTCTTCAAAGAAAAAAAAAACAGAAAGTCCAGTTGCCTGTTGAAAAAGCACCTTTGGGACTGTTATTAATATAGTAATATGATTATTGCATTCTATATATGTATTTATTAAATATATTTTATTTATTTATATTTATACATTATTAATTAAATACATTTATTAAAACATTTTAAATATTCTTTTAGAATTTTTGTTCTGATTTTGGCTATTGTATTATTTCTGAGAAAGCTTGCTCTGAGTATTGGAAAGCCCTAGATTTTAGTAGATCTCAAACTGATAATAGTCACGTAGAAAAGGGAAAAGATAAGAAAGTAGAAGCAGAAGAGGATTAAAAAAAGACAAAGGTTGTTCCAGAAGAAGGGGTGTTTTGAGGATAAAGAACATTTCATTCCTCACTATTAGACAAATAGGTTATAAATATGGCAAGGACAGAGAGCGGATATGTTTACAGGACTGTAATTTTATTCCCGTGCACTTCCTTTGCACTTGCATTACTTTTGCTTATAAACACAATGCATTTGATGAGAATATTTTAATAGTCCTGAGTTTTTTAACATATAGAAACAGTGAACTGATAATTTAACAAATGATAAATGTATCAGTTTTAACTGGAAAATATGTGTGTTCTATAATAAACTAGACAGGTATTAGTCATCCATCAAAGGTTGTACGAGTTATGTGTCTCCTTCCTGAACATAATTTAACACTTGAGCCAAGTGTAACATAAAGCAACTTCCTGTAAGTGATAAAAAGGCTGTTGTGAATATCACTTTATACTTACCAGGTTACCAGACTAATCAAGAGTTCAAAGCAGTTTAAACTAGACTTGTTTATCTTGAAAGATCCGCCTTTCTTCTTTTGAACAATGCCCATTCTGAAATTTACAACCACATGTGTCAGATCCGTGTATCTGTCATTTCTTCAGTGGAAGAAGAAAACGGGGTGGGGGAGGCTGATAAAGAAATCCTTTCTTGATGTAACCTGAATATATTTAATCTTATATCGAATTTGTATAACCCACACATGATACAATGGAGGGAGAAAAGCCAGATGGCCAGAACTATCACCTCTGAGAGGCACAGCCAGGAGATGAGAAGATCATAAAAATTCCACAGTGAGATGTGTCCTGGGAATCTCTGGAAAAGTTTGTTCTAAAAAGCGGGGTGGGGGGAAATTAAGTATGCCCCGGGAAACTGTGAAAAAGACCGTTCCTTACAAAAGGGGTGGGGAGGAATTAACATACTGGCTTTTGTTTCACTAAATACACATCGAGATAAGGGGAGGGGTTCTAAACTCCCTTATCTATCCCTGTATGCCTGAGAGACCTCAGACGCTGCTTTGAACCCTTACATGAATTGTCTCATCTCAATAAAGGATTCCTTTTTGATACGTTTTGATACGTTTTCAGAAGTTCATTCTAGTTGAGTGAATGGGAAAAGTTCTGTAGCCTGACAACATGTTTGCACAATTGTTCTTGTAAGCGTGCCAGTTATTTCATAATCCCAAAGCTTTGATTATTCAGGTTTTTTTAACTTCCAATTTTATCTTTTGTACAGGATAATAAAATTGTATTCAAATGCTACAGAAGAAAGCTGTAGCAAAAAATAAATCTGCTTTTTAAACTTGCAATTTCATTAATTATCTCCCAAGTTGAAGCAATCTTCCTTTTATTTCCCTTCATCCAGAATTCCATTTAAAATGTATTTAGTTTGGTTTTCTATGTTTGTCCTTATAAGTTTCAGATCATGGGATGCTTATGTTGAACAAGCTGTTTGTTACAAATGGAACACAGGATTTTACATGCTACTATGAAAACCCTCAGTTGTTGATTAAATGGTATGCAGCATTCATGTTCTCACTTATCAACAATGAGATTATTATTTTACATAAATACTCTGTTTAAGCAACAGATTACCATGATATGCACCATTCCTTATTAATTTGGTAAAGTATACTGCACAGAGCAGAAGTGAACAATTTGTGGCTCTCCGAATATCGATGAATAAGAGCTCTCAGCACCCTCACAACTGTACAAATTTCCTAGAGATGCTATGGGTATCAGTTCAGTGGTATTCAGAGTGTCACATGTAGGGCCTTTTGGGGGGGGGGCTAATTTAGCACTCTATGGATATAGTGAACCAATTAATTTTGAGAGATGTGGTCCAATTCTCTGCAATTTACCAGGTGCCGGAAAGCTATAACAATAGCATTGAGACTTATATACTGCTTCCCAGTGCTTTACAGCCCTCTCTCAGTGGGGTACAGAGTCAGCATATTGCCCCCAACAATCTGGGTCCTATAGTCAGGCTTCCGTGCCAAGTTTTGTCAATATAAACTAGACTTGTGGCCATTTATTTAACAATGGTTCAAAGTTACAATGGCATTGGAAAGAGTAACTACTGACCTGTTCTTGAAGTGACAACTGCCACATCACCTCCACTGGTCCTGTGATCACAATTTTTATGACTGACTTGCATTTACAACAGTTGGAGCATCTTGTAATCACGTGATCTCAAACTGCAACTTTTCCAGGCACTTCTGATAAGCATAGTCAATTGGGGCATCTGGATCCATTTATCATCTGTGTGATTCACTTAACAACTATGTGATTTGCTTAATGACTGGGATAAAATGGTCATAAAATCAGGTCGGGTCACCTTAATGATTACATCATTTTACAACCAAAATTCTGGTCCAACCTATGGTCATAAGTCAAGGATTACATATAGCTTCCTCTCCAGGAATACTACTGTTCCTGAGAAAGGGAATCTAAAAGGACTCAGCAGGGCATTAGATAGCCATTGCCCACATTCACCTATGATTATTGTAAGTTTAAATTCCAGGGTACCTTGGTTGTTGCTTTTACAATTTAACCCGGTCAGCCAAAACTTTCACTTCTTATCTTCCTCCTGCACATTCTTTTCCGGTCGAGTTCTTCTTTGTGGTGGCCATTTCTGACCACCACTGCAACCGCCTTTGGGAAAGGGAGTAATGGCCAGCTGAGAAGGAGAGATGCAGCTCTCCTCAACCCTGATGGCTATCTCCCCACTCTTCACCACCTCTGGGGTGGCTTAGCCCCTAAACCAGCCGGCTCAGGGCGCTCCAGCGGCGAGCCCAGACAGCAACCGTGCACGATCGCGGGTTTCTGTCTGTCGCCAAAGCCCTTCAAACCGGAAGCCCCATTCACCTATGATTATTGTGATTGTGTGAATAACTCGGTTCTATTAAACAATTGTGAGGAAAAAGAGATCCAATTTTCTATGTCATTATCTCATCATCCTCACACTTCATTGCTTATTGTAATGCATGAATTTCTCTTTCTTGTTTCAGATTGAGGATACCAGTTTTAAGTTTTTTAGTAATAAAGCTAAGGCAGCCATACTGCACATCCCTTCTTCTGGCAGTGGACAAGATCTTCAGTTATATCAGCAAATCCTTACACAACACAATTATAGAGTTACAGTTGTTGAAGACAGGAAGCTAAACAGAAATGAACATTTACATCCAGGTAAGAATTTTTAATTATTTCCTGACTGTAACATGAATTTATTTTTATTTTTAAATGACTGCATATTACAGAACTGATAAATCATTCTATTTAGTTCATCAGCCCTTATTTTGGCACATACTGTTTTACTTACTTTTTAAACTTGATATTACTTATTTCCAACCCACCCACCCCCAAATAGCAGAGAAAACAGAAAGCAAACAAAATGAATCAAAAATATCCAAGCCAAGTTCCTAAGCAGAATCATCTTAAAAGCATAATAAATCAACAGGTTTAAGGAAAAGCAGCAGACAGTTTGTTCTAAATACATCCTTTGACTTCAGTTTAATGATGCTTAAAATCTACTTATATTTGAATGAATTTACTTCTGAAATGAAGAGTGGCTTGCTTAGATTCCTCCTGACAACTGCGTTCAGTATTTGTACAGGGGTGGGGTTCAAATTTCTTACCAATTGGTTCTGTAGGTGTGGCTTGGTGGTCATGTGACTGGGTGGGCATGGCTTGTATGTAAATATTATAAATATTTATGTAAATATTGATTTTTATAAAAAGAGCAACTTTTACCCAAAAGCAGGCAAAGCAGGCAGACAGATTGAGTTGCTCACAGAATCACAGATTCACTTAGAGATCTATCTATCTGAAATCAGCAACCTGAGTCTGTCACATAAAAATTGCTTGTAAGCAAACTCACAAAATTAACTCATAACACACCACGTATGTAAATATTGATTTTTTTTATTAAAAAAGAGCAACTTTTACACCAAAGCAGGCAGGCAGATTGAGTTGCTCACAGAATCACAGATTAACTAGATCTCTATCTATCTATCTGTAATCGGCTACTTGAGTCTGCACTGAAAAGCTTCAGTCTTAAGGAAGGTTCGGTTCTGCTTTTAGATTAGCTAGAAAGCAAGAAATCCAAGGAGTTCCTACTTTCTAGCTAATCTAAATCTCCTGGCAGAGCAGAACAGCTAATGGTGGGGGGAAGGAAAAATAGCAACTTACCAAACTAGGCAAGTTGGATGGCTCTTAAGGAGTGAGCAGGTGGGGAGGGGAGGAGCTAGTCAGTGGAGCTATTTGCCGGTTCTCCGAACTGGGGACAATCGTGTGTGCAGCCTTTGCAAGAAATCATCAGCTGTGCTGCCTGGACAGCTGACAAGCGCTGCAAAGCAGCTGAAGAGGAAAAAGCAGGGAATAAAAGACAGCCTAGAACCTGGTAGGCCAAACACAAACCCAGTTCGGTGTCAGCTGCTCTTTGAAGCTACAGGTTCTATAGAATCGGGCCGAACCAATAGCATCCCACCCCTGTATTTGTTCCTAACTTATACAGTACACTTTAGCAAAGCAAGATTTCTTAATATTTGAAAAAATTGCTGCAAGAATTCCACCTTTCTCTATCTGGAGTTTTAAAGAAATTGCAATTCCCATAACAGCAAAAGTTGAGAAATTGTCATATCAGATCCTGACTTCTTCTCAAGCCTTAGTTTAAACAAGCAATAGTCCTTTGAGGTTTAATACCATGGATAAATATGACTAAAGTATATTGCAGAAAGCCTAAGTTACTAAGGATTGCTGCAGCTGTTGTAACAGCAAAACAGGATTTCTCTTTATATCCCCATCAATCCTTTATCTGGTTCTATGTCAGAAGTCTGTAGTTTATTCTTTTTCTTTTTATGGTTTTAAACCAAAACTCTACTTGACTCAATACAAAGTTTATGAAAGAGGGGGAAAAAACTTGTTGCTTTAAAGAAACACAGTTGGAAAAGTTCCATTCCTGCTGGAAGCTTGGTATGGTGCTCTGGCTGATGTGTTTAATCATAAAGAAATGAGATCCTACTTCTTGCTAAAGGAAACAGAATATAATTTTAAGCTTAATTTCATCCTTTTCTTCTACAGCAAATATGCCTTAAGACAAAGACTTTTAACATCATATATAGTGCCTTTTCTTGCTAGCAAGGCAGAATGGAAACTTGTCCTCACTTGTGGCAATCAAAATAATTATTGGTATAATGATAGCATCATCTCTGCTCCCTGTACTCCATTTTTCATCTGAGTGGCATTTTGTAATATGGAAAAAAAAACATAAGCTTCCTAGAGATGAGATAAAATCAGGGCCGTTATGATGGGATAAAATTAGGGTTGCAAAGTTCTGGTAATGCTATTAGTAATAACTTGCAATTCACAATGGAATTGTCTTTCTGGAAACACTAAAAATATCTCTAGGATGTATTTTATGAGGAAAACATAGTCCACTAACAAATTGTATTATATCCTATTGTATATTTACTAAAAGTTCCTCCCACATTTCTTATTCCTTTACTTTTAGAAAATTTCATATTGTTTTTATTATTATTTAAATGTATATACTGATGCCCAGATCCCACAAACTCTGGGTAGATTGCAACTTGTTTAGAACATTAAAAATAAGGAAACCAACAAGGGACAGAAAGAAGGGTAGAGGATGACAAAACAAAGGAAAACTTTTCAAAAGCTTTTCAGCTTTGGAAGTCCACATTTTATGCTCAGTAGTTATAAATAACAGAATCTATTTATTGATTTTATTCAGTTAAGGTGCTGCCTATTCCAAACAAATGCTGGGCAGCTCACAATGAAATAAATAATAAAGTCACAATATAGAACAGAACAAGATGGATCTGGCAGAGGTGGTATTCAGCAGGTTCTGCCCAGTTCTGGAGAAC